ATGTTTTTTTATGTTAGCCTTTGGTTCTTCATCTTTACCTTAGTTAATTGGTTATTCTAAGATGATGATTGCGTTTAACCGAAGACAACAAATCATTTGTTGTCTTCGGTTTAACGCTAATTCACGGGATATCCTTTTAAGGGCTTGTTTTCGTTTAAATTTAAAAAATTTGTTTTGGTTTTGTCAGCTTGCTGTCGAGTGTAAGGCCAAGGCACACTACCTCTTTTGACCATTCCAGCACTGTACCATCCAAGTTGACGTTTTTATTCTCAGACGGAACAAGTCTGGGAGATTTAGAGCGTGGAAAGATGATGACCTGGGTCTTTGCCGCGTTGATACGGATCTTCCAGCTGTTAAAATATTCATACGATATTGAATAAGATGGGGCCAATGATGCTTCCCTGTGGGACACCCGCACCGATGTGGAAAGCATCCGATGTGATGCCATTGAGAGAGACTCAGATAATTTTTAATTATCTTAACTAGGAAGATTGGAAGACCGTATGTGTAGACCAGGCCATCATGCCAAACATTGTCGAACGCTTTTTCAACGTCCAACAATGCCATATGGCAGATGTTTTAGATACAGATTTATTCCGTCTGAGAATGTTTGTTACTCGAGTCAGCTGGTGAACCGTCGAGCGACTTATACAGAAGCCAAACTGCGCCTCGAGCAATAAGTTGTTTTCCTCGGCAGATGACAGGAGTCGATGGTGGACTGCTCTTTCGAACAGCTAGGATAACCCCGAGAAGAGGCTGATGGGTCTATAGCTTGAAAAAAAGGACATTAATGGGAATTCGATGGAGGTTGGTTGCATTTATCGCAACTGCAGTATCGAATGGGCTAGGCATGTTCAGCCCGAGATTATGAGAGCTGACGAAGTGTTGACCTATAGCATCAGCCTTCTCTTCAGGGGTTTTCAGATAGGCGATCGAATCATTGGGTTGATTCAACGGCACAAGTAGTGAAATGGGTTTTAAATTATTTTTAAGGATTTCGTTTAACGTCCAGAAAGGCTTAGCACAATCTGGGAAAGAGCTCATCTTATTACTGAAGTGCACATTTCTGAGGTCCACCATCCACTGAGGCTTGGATAAATTTTGTTAGACGGTTGCAATGGGTCTTCAAGGCAGGCAGTCCAGTGCGTTGGTGTTACGGTATCTGATCAAGTTTTTAGTGGGAATATCAAGGTTCAGAGTATTGCTCACCTGTCTGGATACTGGCATGTGCTGTTCCCTGGCTCGGGATATCGGCTCCTCCAAGGAACGCAGGCATAGGTCAACGTCTTCGGGAGCGTCCGGATGGACTTCGTAGTCGTCGGCGATGTCGACACAGTGCTGGAACCGATCTCACCGCCTCATGTCCGGGGCAAGATGGTATAGTGGCCCAGCGATGAAGTTCCCGCGATAGACCGCGATGATGGTAATTAGGCCAAGTGATGTGCTCACCTCCACTCCGGTGGCTATGATTGTTTTCAGCTTGAAGTTTGGTAGCAGCCATGTTCCTGATGTTCCATCTTGCAGCGATGGCAACTCTCCCACCTCCGGAGCAGGTGCGGTCAAGTCTGACGAGCCGGAAGTCGAGAAGGAATACGTTCAGTTTGGGCGTCAAGTGCGTCTCGGTGATGATAGCAATGTCGACCTCCTTGGTGTTGAGGAAATCTAGTAGCTCTCTATGCTTGTTCGTCAGCGAGCAAGCGTTCCAATTTGTAATTTTTATAACTTCACGGTCCATACTTGGTGACGAGAGATAAGGTAGCATGAAGCTGTTCAGATCGAGTCTTGCAGGTGTGCAGGATGACGATCACCTCAGCAACCAGCGTTACTAGTTCCTCCGATGTAAACGGAGATTCGTCAACTGTATCGCCTAAGGCAACACGGGCTTACGATAGTCCAGGTGCCGAGGCAGAAAATTTATTTGGCTGGTAGTGTACGTTTGTTTCGATGCCGGCCTGCCTGGTTGCTAGTAGCCACCTTCTTCCTGATGTTGATGTATTCCGTTCGCTTGGGGCAGTCCCGAGTAGTGGCACGGTGAGTACCACCGCAATTAAGGCACATCGGCTCGGTGTCATCAGTTTGAGCACAGTCGCACCGTGGTTTCATATGACAGTTTTTCGTGCCATGGTTCATTTATCCATTTAGCCTTCCATCAATCGCGTTAGCTTTACGGAGCCGATTATTCATTGTTCTTTGTTTGTAACGAAATTCACTTAATTCTATGTCTAGTAGGAGTTGGCCCGAAAACTCACGGCTTACCCGAGGTCAGAGATCAGTCATTGTCGAAAGATAGGATCAGGGTAAGATATTGGGGATGGGTTCCGTTGTCTCACCAGAGCATATTCGCCAGTATGAACGATAGTGCGGTTCTAAATTCGTCTGGTGTTCGACCGGCTATGGTGATCAGTAGTCGACGATGAGACTTATCGAGACGGGAGGGCTAGACAAACAAAAACTACAAGGGACAACCCTATGGGGTTGTACGTAATGGTGATGTAGGACTACGTGGTCTTATATAATAAATCTAGGATCACCTTTCAAATAGACCAATCTACATTGATCAATTCTCTTCAACGATTCTCTCTTTCGTTATTAAGTCGGCTCCAAAAACACGTTCAGCTGATCTTATCGTCCAATACGCTTGATAATACTTTCTTTTAACAGACTATGTAGAAAAATTTGCCCGACATATGAATGCAGCCATGTTATTAACGAAAGAGAGAATCGTTGAAGAGAATCGATCAACGTAGATTGATTTATTTGAAAGGTGACGCGAGAAATGTTATTTGTTAACTGCAGCAGGAGCTTGAGTTTTGTGTAGGAATAGGAATTTGAGCGGGGTTCTCTCTGTTTATACTTTTTAGTATGACGCGCTTGGCCCACAGCGACTCACGAAGAGCTACTGATTCCGATCAATAGCGGTGCGGTGTATCTATGGATGCTCATGTGGGCTGCAGCTCGCTGCTTGCGGGGAGCCTTTCGTTGTGTACTGGAGAACACCACCACTCCCCACGCGGTGATTGAATAAGCACCGTTTGGTGAGGCCGGATGGATGAATCGCTTTTCGCAGGCAATCGGTGATAATTTTAATTATTATAGCTAAAGTTGCACATTCGTGCAATTTTCAACAGTGACATTTTGAAAAAATGATAGAGTCTTAATTTTAACATATGCGTAGAAATATTTCTGATCGATTGGCGATTAAGTTATTGAAATTGGTTCAAGGGCAGCTTAGTTATTAACGTTCAAAATCTTTCATAATTTCGTTTCACGTTTTCGGTTTTCACAAAGTGTACCCCATATAGAAACCACAGACGTAGTCCTACATCAAAACTGATAAAGATAGACAAAGACAAATAGTATAAATTCTTATACTAGACTTTACAGGAACACACTAATTGACTGCATATAGCAGATATCGCGAGTTGCCAACACGTCTCTGATAGGGTTGGCTTCCTTGAGCCTCGAGGGTATTCAAAAGGCGCTGTCTGGCGGCGTCATTATCGGTACATTGCCAAACTGCGTGATCGATGTCATCGTAACCGTTACCACACCGACAGATGTTGCTGTCCACGAGGTCTATTCTATTGAGATGAGCATCTAGCGAGTAGTGGTTGGACATAAGTCTACTCATCACACGAATGAAGTCACGACTTAAACCCAAGCCTCTAAACCACGCTCTCGAAAAAAAAAACATTAGGAAGAATTGAATGTAATCACCGTCTTGGATTTCCAGTGTCCCAATCGGTTTGCCAACTCGAAAGGGTACTCTGACACACTAAATTGTGAATTCAATCGTGAGAAATTTGCCTGTCATAAAGTTCGCCTTCCTGCGCGCCCACCTTTGCTAGAGAGTCCGCCTTTTCATTGCCTGTGATTGAGCAATGTGAGGGGACCCATACAAAGGTAATCAAAGGTAATCATATCTAGCGGACCATTGCATTAGGTCCTAAGTAACATTGATCGATTCTCTTCGTCGACTTTCTCTTTCGTTAATAACTTGAGCACATGATCGCTTCTTGTTGTGTTTATCATATTAGATGCTGGATTAAAGCTTCATTTAGCGATTTGTGTGCTAAAAATATCTGAGAATGTCTTTACATGGCCGTGGGGATACAAAGAGAAAGTCGACGGAGAGAATCTGTCCATGTTACTTAGGACCTAATGCAATGTTCTGCTTGTTATATGATCTTTCGACCAGCACACTTATCTGCTCCCTTACCTTTGAAAGAAAATAATATGAGTGCCTACTTGGTTTCGTCGACCGAACAGCCCCAATCGAACTGAGACTATCCGAGAAGACGAAGTAATGGTCTGCGGGCATTGTTGGAAATCATCCCCATTGCAAAGTTGATTACTGCCTTACATGACATCGCAACGCTGCTTCGATGAAATGGTGCACCATACGTTCGTCAAAGACGTAGTCTTATTTCTAAAAATTGATCGTTTCGAATTCTGCAATGATTGCTCTTCTTTCGTAATTCTTTTACTATGATTTGGACTAAATGTGAATGCTGTTTTTAGAATTTCCCTTTGAAGTAGGAAAAGGTTAAGCATGTAGTTTATGCACATAAGGGGCTGAAACAAGGGAAATCGCGTGAGGAGATTGAATCGAAAAACATTTCAAGATGATATTGTTTGCTGACAAAATCGATAAGGTAAGTTCTTTTGTTTTCTGCATGATTTTAAATTTAATATATATCAGAGATTTTAGAAATAAAATACGCTTCTCGAGTTCCATTACATTACGTCATCATTCTAATGAAATCTTGATAAATAAAAAAAAATGCTTATCGCCGAATTATCGCTGGTTGCTATATTTGTTTCAATAGTTCTCGTTTTTCTTTTTTCCATTTATTTTCGCCATGCCATGCATCGTTCGTTCGTGTTCGTTTGATCGGCGCCGCTTATCGTCGCAATTCATCCATGGATCGGAAAAAATGCAAAACAAAATTGAATCAATCTCACCTTTATCCCACGTCTGTGTATGTGTGTGTGTATAGAACCATTCCTTACCGACCGATTCAACCCATGTAGGATTTCCCCAATGATGCTACGACCTGATCGTGTGCCGCCGGTGCTGCTCCGGCCTTTGGAACCCCTTGGTTTGGTGGAACAACCAAAAGCAGCAGCGGTCCCAACGTCACCGCACCCTCGATCATGACCACGACCACCAGCACCAACCCACAAAGCATCATCAACATCAACAACAACAACAGCAACAGCAACAACAACAGCAACACCCAATCGAACTGTTCGAATCCATCAACAACGGCCGGGCCGCCGACGAGCTCATCCAAGATGACGAAGATGATGATGATGGCCGGCAGTCGGTTTCGAGTGCCACGCCGGAACATCAACACACTGGTCGCGGACGTCAACGTGGACGACGACGAGGAAGACACGACCACGACCTGTAACGACAATGAGTTCGTTTCGACCGGGACCGTCACCTTTGCCCTGTCGTCGGTTTACTACGTCGAGTGCGAGGAGGGTACGTAATTTAAGGTAAAGGTTCGTCGGGGCAAAGTGTGAAGTGTACATAGCAGAAGATTGTTTGTAGTTCTAATCAAATTGAACTTTCTCTCACCATTCAGTAGAATTAGAATTCGAGACGGGGAAGAATAAGAGATTTATGAACTGTTGAGATTGTAGCCAGAGATTAGCCAGTATTTTAGTGAAAATGCGACATCGGACGGTAGGAAGATATTTCCGTAAAATATTGATCAGCAACCGTCTAGACGAAAACAGAGTTCAGCTGTTTGGAACTTTTGGGCATTCATTCCCGTTTGATTTCACTTGATTGGTCCAAATTCACGCGTCACTGAACGACGCTATGCGGGAATTATTTTCATCGATTGCGTTACGCACAAAGAAAAGTTCCGTCATTAATTACCGGCATGAATGAGTTTCTTGTGTTGCTGCGCCATCCAGACAGTTTGCCTCATCAAATTTCCAATCATCCATGCATTGAATCGGAAAGTTTGGCTAACCACCAAGACGTACCTAGCATCATATTCCTCCCCGCCTCGGGAGAAAGAAAATATTGATTCTTGTGTTCAACCTTAATTACACAGCTCTGAAGGCAAATAGCACAACAACTGTCCGAAAAATCTTTGCCCATCAATTGGCAAATCAAAGTTGGCACTCGTGGAGAATAGAAGAACTATGAAAGTGATGATGATTTCATAATTTTGATGTGATTTGTGATAGCGTGTTAGTGAAAATCTGAGGAAATTACAAAACAAATCGCTGTCAAACTCATTTGGACAGATCTAATATCATAATTTTGTTAGCTTAGTCAGATGAAAGCAATAAACATCTTTACATGGCGATGCATCCGCTAACACAAACGAAGTGACAGACGGAGCGGTTCGAAAACTTTGGTGACGAACCTGCTGTTGCAATTTTTCAGTGTACCACATGGCAGCATTACTACTGGATTGTATTAGTATTTTCACCAAATGTACTAGAATGTTTTGGTTCTATGTCTTAAACTGAAATGCATAAAAAAATGACAAAATAATACACTCTTTGCACACTGTAAAAGATCAACAAAAATACTAGCCCATCTAGTGGATTATGGCACAAGCTTTTAACAAAATTCTGTTACAGTGAACCACATTATTTTAATGGATTTCTTCGCCAGTTAGTCGTCTGTCACTTCGTTTGTGGTAGTAGCCTCCAATTATCCTAAACTTTGATTGTTACATTAAGCAATCAAACTCAAATTCGCAGTCCTAGATTTTTGTTTTAACGGAGATATCTTCTACTGGAACGGTTCAAATTTAAAAAAAAAAACTAAACAGTTCTGTGATAAGCAAATCGAATAACGGAATCATGCAGAGTAGATCATTATAGTTGGTTCTAGAAGTTTATTCAGATAGAAAGTGTAGACAATTCGAAAGAACACTAAGAATCGCTTTGGAATGCAAGAGACGGTATTTTAAAAATCGACACTAATTATAGACTAGCATGCATTGATCAATTTACATGTCACTGAACAGATTAACAGTTTCAGAAATAAGCATTAACTAATCCAGACTTCCTAGCAAACGTAAGCGATTATCGGGGTTGATTTGACTGATCGAAGTTTATTTGCCTGGATAAAAAAAAAACAGGCTGCAAGAAACCGTTTATCATTTAAGAGAATTTATTTACAGAAAAGTGAGCTTTTATGTTTCTATGTCGATAAGTTGCTCTGTTAGTACTTAGCGAGGAAAATTTTGAACCAATCGAAATATTTTTCAATCAAAAGTTGCCAAAGACGAATGACACAAGCGGAGTACCAAAAAGAACAAAAAATGAGAGAGTGGAAGTAACGAAAAGCAAACATTGAGTGAAGTTAATCGAGTAAACCTTGGGCAGGATCTGTTTAAAAGAAAGTACCTATTTAAACATAAAATATATTTTTGTGAATTTGTGAACTGTAATGGAATAAAAACCTATTTTGATTTAAATAACGTTTACTGGTTGGGATTCCGAAATACCATTGTCCACCCGTTTTTTTTTTCTGCATCGAAGCACCCCTCATTCTCAAGCGCATCCGTCTAGTTTCGCTCTGAAATAGACGTGCCCGTGCGGTTGCATACCCGAAGGCGCCTGCATCGTTACTTTAATGTTCATTAAAGTTGTGGTAAGTTGCCAGCTATAATACCGATGACAGACATGAGTGTAGTATCGTTGAACTTCTCGTACGCCGACGTGTCTGATTTTGTGGGCAGTGTTATTTGTATATGTATAAAATTAAATATGAAAGATAATATAAACTTCTAGCTAGTAACATAAAGTTGCATGCACACTCTACAAATTAAAATGTTGAATTTATGTACAATAAAAGCAAGAACAAAGTTTGTTAAAATACACATTTAGTCAGCTCATTGGCAGGCGCGTAGGCAGCATGTTATACAGTGACAGCGGGCCCATTACAGCAAAATAAACGATTTGAGCCCGGGACATGCTGCCTTCTGTCAAACGCTGCTGTTGGTATAGGCCTTGTCACTGGCCTGCATTTAGTACACACAAGAACACGTTAAAATTGCTGCAGGGGATGGTTATTGGATTGTCGCGGGTGGATATAGGACTAATGGAAAGAGAGGAACAAAAAGCAGAAAAAAGGAGAAGGGTCTGTGCCTAGGGGCACAAACGGAAGCTTGACGTAGGACCGCTAGTGGACGGAATAAATGTGAAGAGCATTAAGTTCTTTTAATTGATCAAATCAGGCATAACATTTGATAACGGCACAAAAGCATTTGTAAACAATCATTCTAAGGCCCTTTACACGCGAACTAAAGTACGCCCACGCAAACCAATACCACTTACGGAAAGGTGATAGTTGCCCCTATGCGATGATGTTGTTGGTTTGCGTGGGCGTACTTTGGTTCGCGTGTAAAGGGCCTAAGAAGGTTTGTTTACAAATGCTTTTGTGCCGTTATCAAATGTTATGCCTGAAATATCTATTATCTCAACTCTTTCCGGTTTTGAGTTGTAGGCGATCCAAATTTGTAGTAATCTTTTTCAAAAAGAAAGTTGATTACGAGAATCAACAGGGTGGCCAGTGAATTTTCATTTTGAAAATCCCGGTTTTTCCCGGTTTTCCCGGTTCAAATTTTAAAAATTCCCGGTTGTTAATATGCAACAAAAAAAAAAACAAAATTTACTGATAGAATAAAAAAATGTGATTAAGAAGATTCCCAAGATTCTGGAGCTTTGAAATTTGTGTAGAGTCTGAAACTAGAACTTTTCTTCAAAATTTGTGATTAATAACATGCTTCGTGATGCAAGATTTGGAGAAACAATAATTAAAATGTGAAATTTTGAATTTTTTTCAAGATCACAGATTTATAAAAAAAATAACATCATACCTATAAGTCGTGGAGTCATAATTGTCACGCTCTGAGACTTAGAAGCATTTTAAGGGTAATAACAAATTACATAGCAATCTGTAGAATCTGGCGGACAAACCATGGAATTTTTAGTAAAATTTAAAAGAATTCAAAGTGTTGATTAAAAACAAATATTGAGAAGGATTCCCACACAGTTTTCGAAGGAGAAGAGCAGATTTCCAGAATTATTCTTACATGAAATCCATAGAAATTGTTGAATGAATTTGGAAGGATTTCTTAGGAGAAGAATGCAAGTTCTAAATTAAACTGTTAGGTAATTTTAGTAGATTTAAAAAAGAATTGTGAAAATAAAAATAAAACATTGCAGAAAATTCCTACGTGGTTCTGATGAGATTTGTATGGGCATCGTGAGGAACATGACAGATGAATTTTAAAAAGAATTCCAAGAGAATTATGATCGGAATTCAACAAGAAACAGAGTTCTTAAAATATTCTGGCAATAATTTCAACCCTAGTGCAAATGATTCATCACATAACCCAAACAAAATTGATTCCAAAAAAATTGCTGATAATTAAAAAGAAATTCTTTAAAATACTCCAAGGGGTTTATAAATTAATTTTCGAAAGATTTCTTTTGTTTTGAATAGAGTTAAAAGAAATATTTGAAAAGATTTTTAAAGGAATCAAAGTTCCGGATAGGCGGGAACGGGAATTATATGAAGGATTCCAATAAATTCTTAGAAGGGGTTGGAAGAAAATTCCTAAAAGAATTCAACGGTAATTATTACGCGGAGTGTTTTCTGGTTTATTTCAGAACAATTTCAAGATAATTCAGAGCAGAATTCCAAGTTAATTCTGGAATTCATCGTTAGAATTTTGAACAACGAAAAATTAAAACCCCGGAAAAGAATAATTCATTTTCGGTTTTTACAAATATTTGTTTCCAAACTCCAGCATCTTCAATATTTTCTTTAGAGGACCATGCACTTTACATCTGAAATTGAAACGAAAAAAATCAATTTGCAATATTGCTGAGTGATTAAATTCTAAAAACAATAAGACGGTATACTGAAGAAAATTATGCAACAAATAGAGCAAGACATTCATTTGCTAAAGGATCACTCTGCTTTAATGGTTTATTCTGAAATTCTGATGTAAAAATTTGTTACTATGATATGGTTAATTTATTTTCCCGGTTCTCTTGCAGAATTCACGGGTTTTCCCGGTTACTTTCCAAATTCCCGGATATTTCCCGGTATTCCCGATATTCCCGGTTTGCTGGCCACCCTGAATCAATCAAAATCACTTGCACCCCTGCTTCCAAGTTTGTGTGGTCGTTAGGGGCTTGTGGTTCTGAATATGGACAAACAAGCATAGATAAATTCTATTCCAACTCTTTACTGATGTAAGCTTGATGGCCCTGAAAAGGGCCGTTTTATTGAAGAGGACATCCATGGCCACTTACGCTTGGCGTGTTTAGTGTAGGTGACAGCATCACGGACCTCATTTTCCACGAACACC